ATAAGGCCTTTTTGGAATTTTTCTTATAGAAAACTGTAAGACGTACGATTCTAATTTTTCACATATTTTCACATATTATTAATACACATGTCAATATATGAAAAAAATTTGTATAGCGGTATCTTAATTTCAAAATTCTACGAAATTAGTTGAGAGTCGCAGAGTTAAAAAAATGAGATGACCAAATGATTGACACGAGATATCTCGAGAACTAATAGCCAGAGAAATAAAAAACAAAATTTATTCTTAAATTTTATTTGCGTGATTATCGTGTAAATTAGAATTATTGAAAAATATTGAAAATTCGCGAATTGACACGTGTTTTTAGAACCTGATGCGAAAAAACACTTACTTCAAACACTTATTTCATTTCAATCGAAAATGTTGGACAAAAAATTACATTTTTAGTGAAATCGGTTTATTCTTTACGCGGTAGCTAATCGAGACTCAGGAGGGCTCCGATTGCACACATCGCATATTGCACACATGTATCGCTGATTGGCCAATTTAAAAATAAAATAATCTCAATGACAAAGCAGTTAAAAATTACTGGGTACCAGTTGATATGAGTGGTGTGTACAATCAGAACTGTAGGCAAACGGGATCCTCTCAGCTAATCAATCTACCTATACAACGCCGCAAGAATTTTTTAAATGGGTCGGTTAGTTTTTCTGAAATCGCGTCAACCGCCAAAAAAAGCAACGTTTCGAGAAAAGGGCGTTTAAAGTTTAAATTCTTCAAGATTAAAATTATATCGGATACCGAAAACATCCATTTTCTGACAAATAGAAGCGGAATTCCGAAAAAGCCCTCGTAGCGCTTGCAAGAAGAGCAAATGCGAAAACCTGACGTGATTGGTTTGGCAAAATAATAATGGATACCGAAACATCTATTTTCTTGTAAATAGGAGCGAAAGTTGGAAAAAAAGCCCACGTAGCGCTTGTAATGCTTGATTCACATTGCATCCGATTTGCGTCGTACGACGCTCTGCAACCAATCAGAAAACAGGATGATACGAAGCAAAATCCATCGGAATTCTGCTTTCTGATTGGTTCCAGAGCGTCGTACGACGCACATCGGATGAAGTGTGAATCCAGCAAAGCACCTGCCGCGCACTATTGCCTCCTGACAAAGTGGATATGAACTACGTAGCAAGGTCCACTTTTCTGAGGGTACATGCGTCCACTTTTCGAGGTTGCAAGTGATAAGTCAATATTTGATTCGTATATAATGCCCCAGATAGCAAAATACCTCCACGGTATTAGTACGGTGAGCGTACGGCGTATTATGCGTGCCGATACCGTACCTGTCAGGTACGTGGGTAAAGGGTACAGTACCGGTACACCGTATTTTTAGTACGCCGTACCGATAATGTACGCCTTAGGTACGCATGTTATTAAAATTAATTAATTTTATAGTTTTATTGCTAAAATGCTTATTATTATTGATTAATTATCTTATTCTAGAGTACACATCATAAAATTATGAAAAAAAAAAAATATATATTTTCCCTGAATTCGGGAACTAATTTCATAAATACTTCAAATAGACGGGGAGGCCGAGAGGTTAAATGTGGATTTACTCGAGCGTCGTGGGG